GCAGGAATGGCTTCAGTGTCCAGAGAGGAGATTTAGATTAGACAGGAGGGAAAGCTTCCTAGCAGCACAGCCAGATTGTGTAGGCAGAGAGAGGAATCTCCATTGCCAGAGGTTAAGAACAGGTGAGACAAACATCTGTCAGAAACGTTATAAGTAGGGCAGAAGGGCAAATCAGATGACCTCATAAGAATCCTTTTCTCCCAGTCTCATTTTTCTCTGATTATATGAATTTCTAAGCATTTGGGGTCAAGTGTACTGTTTAAATATAAGCTATTATCCTGCATTTGCAGAGAGGAAAACCAGAGAGGTATCACCTGGAACCATTCATCACCTGAGTGAAAATCACCAATTTGCAAATCAACTGCCCAGACATAAAAATCTATCATTTTGTCCTGATTTATGCTGAAGATTAAGAAGAGAATAGCCATAACATAGGGATAGGAGAGGAATGAGCATTGAGGATTCTCCACTCCTCTCTGGACTTTTACATTTCCCATTCTAGAAATCCCTCCCTCACTCTGCTGACATCTGCAACATGCACAGGCAGTTGGCACAGGAGAAGCATAGGCTCAGTGCACAGTTGTGTCTCCATCTTTGCCTTCACCTTAGGTTTGCAAACCAGACTGAGGGTAAGTATTCAGGACATCCAGCCCTGCAGGAAGGACATCTGGGGAATCAATGCTTCCTGCTACATGTTGACCATGAGACAGAGTTTGTCTAGCCCAGTTTGCCAAGGTCCTACCTGACCTCAACCAAAGAAACTACAGACTACAAGGGCCAAGAACACTATTCCCCCACATCCCTGTAATTATTTGAGTCATATTACAGGTTAGGAGAGCTGTGCTGGGAATGGCCCCATGAGGTTTCTTGCTCTGAAATGGCCTTGGGCAAGCATTACCCCAAGGCAGGAGCAGAAGCATCCTACCATGTGGATCCCCCTTGAGTCAGTTATTGCTCTAGTAGAAATATTAGGAAAATTAGAAGAACTTTTGTTAACTAAAAGCCAGACCTGAGTGCACACCATGATGCAAGAACAGTGCAGTGAACCAAGCTCCATAATCCATGGTCCTACAGCTAATACAACAAGGAATCATAGAATGGTTTGTGTTGGAAGGGACCTTAGAGATCATCTTGTTCCAAGCCCCTGCCATGGGCAGGGACACTTCTCACTAGCTCAGGCTGCTCCAAGCCCCATCCAATCTGGCCTTGAACACTTCCAGGGATGGAGCATCCACAACCTTTGTGGGCAACCTGTTCCAAAGCCTCACTCCTCTCACAATAAAGAATTTATTCCCAATATCTAATCTAAATCTCTCCTGTTCCAGTGTAAAATGCTCAATTCCAGGCACATCAGCTGTAGCTGCTCATGTGCAGGATTTTAGCTGCTGAGGGCAGGGCAGCAGAGCTGAAGTTCAGCTCCAGCTTGGATCACAGGCAGGTTAAGCCTCTATTTGCACCAGCAGAGAAATATATGACATCCACACAAAGCCAAGGAAAGTCTCACTGATGGCTTTGTAATTAGTTTCTGAGCTGCTGCAGACACATGTGCTAAGAGGCAGAGCAGCAGTGCTGGGGCTTGGCAAGCAGGACATCAGTGAAGGAGACCAGGCCCTCACAGACACATATCCAGGCTCCAAAATACTTCACCAACCATCAAATATTTTCCAAGCTTAGCAGCTGGACTCTGCAACCCCTTCCAGCAGCCAAGTCACTAATACCTCTTCCCTGGGGCAGCACAGCTGATCTCAGGCAGGGCTTGCCAGCAGCTCTAAGTAGGCTCATTTAAGGAGAGGACAGTCTCCTTAGTTACACTTTTCAGACTCCCTGTTTTAATTCAAGGATCTCCAGGTTCTTTTCCAGCTTAGCATTAGCATCTCTGATTCACAGTGAAGAAATATATTCACAGATATGCTCCATTTTTCCCCCCACTGTGTCACTCAGTCCCTGACTCCTTGTCCTCTCTCCAACCACTGCACTCCTGTCCCTCCAAATTCAGCCTGACACATAAGTCTTCCTGGTTTTCTTCACCCCAAGGGACACAAGAAAGCTGTTGGCCTTTTTGCTCCTGTTTAAAGCCACAGAAGCCCAGGACTGAGAGGTTTCAAACCTCCTCATTTGAGAGGTCCAATATTGCAAACACGGAGCAGATATGCAAATGCATGAAGAGGCTTAACAGCCCAGGAAAGAAACTCCAGTGGGAAGCTCCCAGCTTAAATCTAAAGGCAGCTCTTTGAATGTGCAGAGACCCTGCAGCCAAACAAAAAAATCAAAGCCAGATTTGGGCACAGACTTTCTCCCTGTGCAATACTCCATGGGGAGCTTTGCTGGTCTAGGCAGAAGAGATCCCAACGAAAATGAAGGACTTGTCCCTCTGCACCTTTGATGTGGGAGAATGAGAGCAGTGCAAGGTCAGGCAAGGACACTGAGGGCAGGGGTATAAGGGGGAGTTAAGGGAGAGTAAGGCAGGATCAGTCTCCCTGCAATGAATCATAACCCCAGAAAGCCAACCCAGTCCTGGGCTGCATCCCAAGGAGTGTGGGCAGCAGGTCAAAGGAGGTGATTCTTCCCCTCTACTCTGCTCTGGGCTGAGAGGTTTGTGCAAGTGCTTGTAGAGCTTTTCACTCAGCACAGTCTTGGTGGTGGCTGTTGGAGCAAGGCCAGAGGAGGCCACAAAGCTGAGCAGAGCACTGGAGCATCTCCCTGTGGGAGAGCTGGGGCTGTTCAGCCTGGAGAAGAGAAGGTTGTGTGGAGAGCTCAGAGCAACCTGCAGGAGCTGAAGGGACTCCAGGGAAGCTGCAGAGGGACTCTTGGTTAGCAGCTGCAGGGACAGGACAAGGAGCAACGGGGAGAAATGGAAAGAGGGAATTGAGGTGAGGTCTCAGGCAGAGGTCTTTTCCTGTGAGGGTGGTGAGACACTGGCACAGGTTGCCCAGGGAGGCAGTAGAAGCCACAGCCCCATTTGTGTTCATCTTGGTCTGTCCTTGTCCTGCCAAGGACCAGCAGTAAGAATCCCCTAGCAAAGGAGCACAAAGGAGAGGTGGAACAATCCCATATCCCAAACCCTTACTGAGCTTATGGGGCAGGAAAGCTCTGTGGTCTTCCTCTGCTGTTCCTTTGCTCAGTCTTGAACTTGCCTATCACTTGAAAGAGCTAATTAAGGCTGAGAATCAAAGCCCAGAGAAGCAGCTATTACAGAGCCGGGCGCAGTGTGGCTGTAGAGCTGTGTCTGTGCCTGCTATCAAAGCCAGCCCTGTGCTGGCACGGCTGGCGCAGAGCTCTGCGCTGACACTTGAGTGAACCCACAGAATAAACTGAGACAATTTCCTCAGACCATTTGTGGGTCAGCTGGACCAGCCTCTCCCCCAGTCCTGCCCTTCAATCTTGCAGTATTTAATCCTTGATCTGCAGCCAGGCCTTAATTTTTCAGTGCAGAGGCAACGTGGAGATGGCTGGAGACCGGAAGGCACAGGGCTTTGATGGTTAATGACCAGTGCATCTTAGCCCTAGAAGAAATGAAGCTCTGGATTCACAAAACTCCCTGAATAAATCCTCCAGCTCCAGCCAGGGCAGTAGAATTACCCCAGCACACACAGAAACCAGCACAAGTGAGGTGGTGAGGTGAGCTGGAAGCAGAGCCAGGATGGGGATAAGGCAGTCTCACTCCCTTGCTCCCTGCTTTAATGGTTGAAAAGGTTGGTTATCTGAAAACAAGACCTGAGAGCACATGAGGAGGTTAAGGTTGGGGGCTCAGGGACTTCACTTACCGCGCTGCTACAGGGAATGTCCTTGACTTTGAGCCAGGCCAGATCTAAGGTCCCCTCTCCCCTGTAGCAGGACTGCAGTCTGTCTTTGATGCGGTCGTTGATCTTTTTCAGGACAAAGATGCAAAGAGCAGACTCATCCAAGGACTTCATCTTCCTTTTCTGCCCCTTGGAGAAGACTGTGAAGAGGATATCATCCTCAGGGCCAACCCCCAAAGACCTTGCCAAGATGGCCCCAGCCTTGGACAAATATGCTGCCTGGAGCAATCGATATTCCACCCCATTCTTCTCACAGCCAATGGGCACCTCCACATAGGAGTTAAAGGCTGTGTCCTCCTTACAAAGCCGGACCAGCTTGGAGGTATAAACCTGCTCCTTGGTGGTGGAACCAGGTGGTGAGATCATCTCGGGCTGCAGAGTCAGGAAATAGACAAAGTTACCACTGCTGAAGCCATAGATGTAGTAGATATCGAAGTCAGGGATGATGGTAAAGGTGTCTGAGGGGATCTTGATCATAGAGGCCACAAACTCATCATGAAAGACATATGCAAACATCCCATCTGCCTCGGAGTTCTTGGTGAGTTTCCTGCTGGAAATGGTGGGGAAATACTCCGGTTTGCCATCCACGGCAGTGGCGATGAACAACTTGTCATCCATGTTGCTGTAAGAAACAATGACTCCAAAAACAGAGCCACTCTCGTTCACCCCAGAGAGATAATGCTCCTTCTTGTGGAAGGGCTCTCCGAGCTTGAAGAGGTCATCCAGCCTCAAGAGCTTGCAGATGCCCTGGTACAGACTCCCACAGGCTATCAACCGATTCTCCTTGTAGTCTATGAGGAGCATTTTGTTTATGTTGTTAGTGGGTGTCAAGGGTTCATTGCAGGTTTGGACTATCCTGGGAGGATAACACTTGGGATTATCATCATCAGGACCAGTCTCATGGGTCACCAGGACCTTCAGGTCACTGGAGAGTTTGTAGATCCTGTTGACAGCCCCCAAATAAATGTGCCCAGTTCTTTCATCAACCACCAAGTGGTTGAAGTTTCCCTCTGCTTGCTCTCCAGTGAAAGTGATGAAGGGCCTCTTTGGATGGAGTGGCTGCTGTCTACCAAGAGGTGACACTGTGGTGGACAGCAGGAGGTGAGAAACCAGACAAGTCCATTTCCACATGGCTGGTGACATGATTAGAGAGGTTTGTATTCCCAAGGGAACGAGGATTAAAAGCTGTAAAAATCTTCAAAACACCAATTCCCTGGCAGATTCTGTCCTACAAGCAAAGGGAAAAAAAGAAAACAAAAGTACATTACTATGGAGTATTCCTTCCTCCTCCCTCCTTCACAACCATGCCATCATCAGAGTGCATTTAATTGCTAATCCTCTCTTTCTCCACTCTGAGCTCTCTACTTAAAACCAGCACAAAGGGAGCCCTGAAAGAAAAGATGCTGGTGGAAAGAGCAGAAATCACACGGCAGAGGAACAAACCAGCACCCTTTCCCTCTCCATCACACACACAACACATGCCCCACAGCACAGCACAAATATTCCCTGGACTCCAGAGCAGTGCAGAAGGCTAATGGTAGAAACAACAACCAGCACTGCTGTTTGCACTGCCAACATCAACCAGTTGTGTATTTGCTATCTAAGACAGCAGAACTGGAGAAGGATTATTTTCCTGCTCTTCTGGATGAGGGACTGAAGCACAGAGAAGGTCAGAGATCTGCCTACAGGGACAGTCCAGATGGATGCTGAGCTCTCCTGCAGTCCTTGCGGTTGGTGGGGAAGAAGTCAACTCTGGCCTGACATTAACATCTTTTCAGGGAGACCTCGATGCAGAAAGGGCCTGTTTGAACAGGATCTCTGTGGCTTCCAGATCAAAGCTGCCTCGTGCTGGTCCAGCTTGGAGTGCAGGCACAGGAGTTGTGGTGTGCCAGCTGTCACAGCCACGTCTACAAAGGGCGTGTGGCCAAGCACAGAGCAAACTGAGCACCAGGTCTTCTCCCTCCCTTGGGCTCTCACCACAAGGCCACTCTCTCCACCCACTTTACAGCCAAGAAAACATCCAAAAGAGAGCTACAGCTCCTCAGAGCATCTCGGGTGACTAAGGAGAAGGGTAGCCTACCTATTAGCAGTAATAAAGTCTAAAGGACCATGAGGAAGGGGAACTAACAATCCAGGGACCAGGGCTGGTGATGTTCTGAAGAGAGGGAAGAGAGCCTCCTTGCACTGCTCAGTCCCTTAAAATCTCCCAGGGTGGTGGGAGCAGTATGGGGTTCAATCAGCTTCTGTAATTTGGTAAGCATATCACCAGGCCCCAGGGAAACACATCTTCCTGCTCAACACATCCATCTGCTCCCTTTTCCTTCACCTTTTGGTTGCTTCTGTACCAAGGACAGCTTTAGCACTTTGTGGTCCCACAGAGCATGTGGGAGACGAAGTCATAGAATCATAGAATTTTAGGGGTTGGAATGGAGCTTAGAGATCATCTAGTCCCATCCCCTGCCCTGGACAGGGACATCTCCCACCAGAGCAGATTGCTCAAGGCTCATCCAACCTGGAATGAAACACTGCCAGGGTTGGGGCAGCCACAGCCTCCCTGGGCAACCTGGGACAGTGTCTCACCACCCTCACAGCAAAAAACTTCTTCCTACCAGCTCAAGTGTCACAAGCCAAGTCCCTTGTGACTGGTAGCCAGGCTGAGGCACAAAAACCTTTCCTCCCTCCATCCCTCTCTAACACCCAGACCAGAATTTAAGAAAACCATTCTTGATTCTCAAAGGACACAAGCCAAGCCCCAGCTCTGCTCCTGTCCCATCACCTCTGCCCTTGCTGAAATCAGGAGTGTAGCTGGTGATGACAGCCAGGCTTACACAAGCAGGAGGCAAGAAAAACATCACTGTTTACAGATCCCAGCAGGGAGGAGGATATAGCAGTGACATAGGTCTGGATTTGCAGCTATTTCAAACCTGTCCAAGTCTGCTAATGCCACTGGGACTGAAACATTTACTTCAAGAAATAATAAAGCGAATAAATCCTGTATTCTTTTGACCTGTAGGCTGATTAGATCTGATAGTGGAAAGGGTAAGTCTGGGCTTGTAGAGCAGCCACCACTTTCATGCCACCCCAAATATATCAAAACTCTCACAGCAGCCAGAATTTCAAAGCTGTTGGATGATCACCTTCACCTCCCACTGCCCTCCCTGGTGCAGCAGCCGCAGGCGTCGGATGGATGACGGACAAAGGTCATTTCACATTTACTTTAGACATGTTTACCCTGCTCTGCTTTGCCTTTCTGGTCAAGCAAATATTTAATAAAATCAAGCTTATAGTGCAGAGTGTGCAGGATTGTCTCATGAGCTCTGCAGGAATACCCAGGCTGGTCACGTAGGCTTTTAATAACCTTTATTATGATAGATAGAGCAGCGATGGGATGAGCTCTCCCCACACAACCATTCCTCTTTCAGAAAGGGCCATCCTTGAGAGAGCAGCAGCAGCAGAGAGGGAAGCTGTCCCTGCTTGAGTGCTGTGTTCAGAAACATCACGTGGTGACCCTGAACACCAGCTCCCGTCACTCCTGAGTTATGATCCGTATTTCTAACAGACACTGGTTTGATCGAGAACTAGACAGATCTAGGAAGAATTTCTTCCTTTCAAGTACTAAAAAGGTACCTATTTTACCCCTATGTTGTACTAGATTTTTGCTCTGCAGAGTCAGCACAGCTGCAGGGCAGGGAAATGGGAACTGCTGTGACTGAGGGACAGAAGAGGGAATGAAGAACCTCTCTCTGCCCAAAGCTCAGCACAGCACCAGGACAACAGCACCTGCAACAAAGGGAGGAAATCTGCCCATTAGAAAGAGCAGCCAACACAAAACAAGGAGAGAGAGACTCCAGACATGAGGCCTTGAGGACCCAAGTAGGTGAGAATTGTTTTGAGGTGAGGCTGTGCCTCATAGAGGAAGGGGATGGTGAGGGAAACCTGGGGAAAAGACAGCAAATTTGATCTGGAAACCAGCAAGAAGCCAGTGAGAAACTCCAGGAAGGCTGGATGAGGAGTTCCTTTTGCAGGAGACAAGGATGTCTCAAAACCAGTGAACCTTCTGGGGGAAGATGCTCACCTGCAGAGGAAAGAACCTGAGCAGTCCGAGAGCACTGACAGCCACCAAGCAGGCACAGGAGCAGCCCTTGAGGACAAAGCAGGGACAGCAGGAGCCTGGGACTCCCTTGCCATCTTCCATCTGCCACCTGAGTGACCCTAGGAGCAGGATTTTCTCCCTGTACATTCCTCTCCCAGCTGCTCATGCTGTTTGCCCTGCACCCTCTGTCCTGGAGCCCCACACAGTACTTGGTGCTGAACACATCCTCCAAATGCATCAGGTTTCAAGGGGACAAAGTCAAGGATGAGTTATGGCTGAGGAAGTAGGAATAAAGAGGACACAGAGGACTGATCTGTCAATGGAGAGAGAGGAAAGGACTTGGGAGGAAGTGTACAGGGAGAGGGGAAAGAAAGAGCTAGGATGTTCAGGTTTTGATTGGCAGTCTCACAAAAGCCATGGCCATGTCCCTGTGGTAGAATCCAGAACAAATCCAGCTCACTCCAGTGACAGCTCCTGAAAGGAACGTGTCACTGGGTGAACACAGCAGTTCCACTGACACACACAGCCCTCCTGCCACAACAGGTGGCAGACAGATTCCCCTCCCCAGCTCCCCTGCCACGGCCACACGTTGGCAGCAGGGACACTCAAGGTCAGCAGCAAGAGAGTCACACCTGAGAGCCTGGCTACAAAATCCCACCTGGGTCCAGCTCCAGCCAGGAGCTCAGAGCAAAAATACATATTCAAACCCAGGACGCAACCAAACTATGCTGGAAAAGCACTGGGAGGGGGAGAAAACCCACCACAGTGTGGCTGGCAGCACCTCAGAGGGGTTGGCTGGTTCTCCACCAGGCTAGGAGGAAACCAACAGCACCCAGAACTCCTGGGCAATGCCAGTGGCCCAGTCTGGGTGGCTAATGAAGCCCAGCACTAACCAGGCAGCACACTCCTCTGTTTTCTTCTGCTGCTCTCAGGCACAGCTCCTGATTTCCCGGGATGCAGGAGGCTGTGCAGAGGTGCTGACAAGGCAGACGCTCAGCACTGGAGCCAGCACAGAGCAATTCAGCACCAAGTGCAGCTACACAATCCTGTTAATCTCATCTAAAGACTTTTTTTTCATGGCTTCCTTTAATAAACCCTGATTACCATGGATAGAAGCTTTTCTTCGGGAGCCGACACGGCGAGAAAACTCATACAGAGACATTGTCAACAGCTCCTCTAACAAAGATTTGTAACTCCTTTAGCTTCTAACTTCAGCTAAATCCTTTCTCCTGAACTTACAACCTGTCCAAGCTGAAGGGAAGTCTCTCTTTGAGGGCATCCCACACCAGAGCATCTTTTCTTTGGAGAAATGAAGAGATCTCAGTGCAAGCTGCAGCTTGTCCCAAATAAAGAGATTAATTTCAGGAGTGGTTTGTTTGTAAAGGAATTAAGCTACAGTGGGACAACAAAGCCTTCCCTCATCACACAGATTATTCCACTCAGCCACTCAAATGCTGCCCATCACCTTGTTACCTGTGCCTGTGCCAGAAGCATATTAAATGATGGGATTAACACATGCCATGAGTGGGACTTTATTCCTTTCTTTTCCAGCTCTCTCTGTGTGATAAAACTGCATGTGGATGGTGTTTCTGCCTGCATTTCAGGTTTGGTTTCCTATCAGAAAAGCAGGTCAGAGCTGTGCTCCTTTGTGCTTGGGAAGGGAGAGCAGGGAGGTTTGTAATGATTTCTCAGTTCCTCTAGGAATTTGCTACAGAGACTCGAATGAAAGAACACAAATACTCAGTGTCGCAGAAACGAGAATGGAGTTTTGAGGTCATGGAAATAACCTACAAATCCAGAAAACAGAGTTAAACTCCCTTTTCTGGAGCAGACAGGGATGTGAGTCCCCAGGGCTGAGTGCCACAGAATCATACAACATCCTGAGCTGGAAAAGACCCAACCTTCCAACGACGACGTGACACCCTCCACGACACAGGTAACAGCATTTCCCAATCTCCTGAAAGTATCCTGAGGATAAATCTATTAAAACCAGTCCTTATCACAACACTTGGGGAAATGTAAACCCCCAGACACCCAA